CCGGAGCCGCAGGGAGCGCCGGGCGGGGGCTGCCTGTGGCGTCTCTTCTGGAAAAGAAGCCAAAAGGGAACAGCACCTGGCAGACCTGTGTCTTCCCTTTGAAGTGACAACTCATGCCCATCCTGCAGGGGCCCGGGGGCGGGGGGACTGGGCCCCGAGGCGGCACCTCCTCGCCGGTCCTGCCCTGGGCTGCTGACCTCCTCTCCCTGCAGCTGGCGGGGAGCCGTGATCGAGCCGGAGCCGGGCACCCAGGCTCCTTCCCGGAAGGCAGAGGCCCCTGCCCGGCCCTCTCTGCAGGCCCCCAGGATTCAGAACCAACGAGGTGAGGCCCCCTGTGCCCTCATGGGCCCCACCTGGGCATCCTGCGGGCGAGGGCACGTGGACACATGTGTCCCAGGCGAGGGCAGAGTGCCGGCCATCCCCGTGGGGCCGCAGCCCCTGCACGCAGGGCACACACTCCTCAGAGCTTCGGCGGCGACACGTGGCTTTCCTGTTTTAACGTGTTTTATGGATTTCCAAAAGAAAAGAGAGGGAGAGGTGGAACCATAATTGACGAGAGAATCATTGATCGGCTGCCTCCTGCACAGCCCCTGCTGGGGATTGAGTCCACAATCTGGGCAGGTGCCCTGACCGGGAATCAAACCGATGCTCAGCCACTGAGCCACGCTGGCCGGGCAGCAAGGGGCCTTTTGAGGCCGGTGCCCATGTCCAGGCTGAGGCAACGGGAATGCGTGTGGGAGGCTTGCTTTCCCGTCCGTGGCAGCTCCCGGGCCTGAGAGACGTGGGCAGCTGCGTGGGTGCCTGCATTTAGGCACCCGTGGCTGGGGGCCCACTGGGTGCCGGCACTTCTGGGGAAGGACGCAGGAGCCCAGAGCTGGGCTGGCGGTCAGGCCTGTCAGGGACACTGAGGGCCTCTGCCCCACAGAGTGGACACGGGGTGTGAAGCCAGTGACACTCGGACCTCACGCGTCTCCTCTTGAAAGACGCCAGGTGCGGGCTCACGAGAGGCGGGTGGTCTGGTCCTCGTCACGACACCCGTCACGGTGGACGTTCCGCGCCCACGTTGCCAGCGCAGCCAGTGTGACTGGTCTGCGGCCTGAAACGCTCTGCTCGCCGGGGCTCCCTGTGGCCCGGCAGGGGGACGGGACAGGCCTGGTGGACGTGAGTCCGAGCTGCCTTGTGAGGCCCCAGCGCCTCTCCACCTCCACAGCCCTGTCCAGCTCTGAGGGTCTCACTCTGGGGCCGTCCCGACCTTCATGCTGCCCGCTGCTGCCCTGTGGCCCTGGATAGTGCTCCCCGGCTCCTCAGCCTCCCTGCTTGGGGCCCCAGAGGGACTGTCCTCCCTGACCAGGTCCTGTCCCCCCGACCCGCTCCCCCCACAGCCTCCCCTAACGAGCGCCAGCAGGCCGTCATAGACGCCTTCCGCCACGCGTGGGCCGGATACCGCAAGTTTGCCTGGGGCCACGACGAGCTGAAGCCCGTGTCCAAGTCCTTCAGCGAGTGGTTCGGCCTCGGCCTCACGCTGGTCGACTCCCTGGACACCATGTGGATCCTGGGTCTGAAGAAAGGTACCTGTCCCCCAGCTCCCGCCGAGCGCCCGCGTGTGACGACGGGCAAGTGAGCGCGCGTGCCCGGAGGTCCCGCCTGCGTGTCCGCCGACGCGCCTCCTTCCCTGGGGGCCAGGAGCGGGCGTGCTGGTTGTGGGGACTCTGTCACCTCACATCCAGGCGTCCTGGGGGCACTCAGGGCAGCAGAGAGGCCCCTGCCGAGAGCCAAGTGGACCCTGGTGGGCGCCCAGCGGCTTTCCCGCCGGGGTTTCTGCTGCAGCTGGGAGGGCCCGAGTGGGAGGTGGCACGTGGTCTGATGTAGCTGCCAGCACCCGGAACCGTCCTCGATGTCCACCTAGTGCCGCAGCTGGGGGCAAACTGGGACTAGGCGTCATCGATTATTTCTAAACCGACGTTGGCTGAGAAGGCTGGAGGCCGCCACTGAGCCACCCCCGTGTCCTTGTGCCGTGGCCTCTGACGCCGACCACTTGTGCTCACGGCTGAGGTGGCTCCCCGGCCGCACGCTGGCCCGTCAGCTCAGACCCGAAGACTCGGGTTCCTGCCTTGGCACCCTCAGCAGAAAGGTGGACAGGAGCACGCGTGTCGCCCGGGGTGGGAGGCCCGAGGGCAGTGCTGGGCCCGCGAGCGTGTCCTGTGCCCTCTCCCTCTCCCGTTCCCGTAGAATTCGGAGAAGCCCGGAGGTGGGTGTCCGAGAAGCTGCAGTTTCAGAAGGACGTGGACGTGAACCTGTTTGAGAGCACCATCCGCATTCTGGGGGGCCTGCTCAGTGCCTACCACCTGACGGGGGACGCGCTCTTCCTGCAGAAAGCCGTGCGTGCCCGCCGGGCCCGGGGCTGGGCCTCGCCTGCTCCCTGTCTCCTCTCTCCGGGGGCTCTGGGCGGGCTGTTCCACTTCCCTTCCCTCGCGCCCACTCGTCTGTCTTGGCAGGAGCTGAGCCGAGTGCGTGCCCGTCCCCTGCAGCCACAGGGACACGCTGGGCTCGGAGCCCAGCCCCTTGGCTGCGTGGAGGGCGAGCTCCTGAGGGCGGGAGCGGGTGGCGGCCCGCGCTGTGGGCGGGAGACGCCCTCTGAGCGCCAGCACTGACCGCGCCGTGTGTGCGTCAGGAAGACTTTGGGAACCGGCTGATGCCGGCGTTCCGCACGCCCTCCAAGATCCCGTACTCGGACGTGAACATCGGCACCGGCGTGGCCCACCCGCCCTGGTGGACGTCCGACAGCACGGTGGCCGAGGTGACGAGCATCCAGCTGGAGTTCCGCGAGCTCTCTCGCCTCACGGGCGTCCAGAAGTTCCAGGTGAGGCCTGGTGTCTGGCGGAGTCTCTGGCTCGGCGGCGGGTGCCGACCGCGGGGCACTGGTCCCGGCCGCCAGGCCCCTGCCTCTCTTCACGCCTCACTCGAGTCCTGTTTCCTCAGTGATGCCGGGGCTCAGGCCGGGGAGGCACCGGCTGGCTGGTGAGACCCCTCCCTGGCCCCACCCCCGCCCACCTGCTGTCGCACCTCGTTCCGGCCCTGACGGCTGGTGGCTGGTGGTGCCGGGCTCTGGGGGCACCGGGTCCCGGCCGCCTCGGAGGCAGCATGCGAGGCCCCGTCACGGCTGCCCGGGCCGGACGTGTTGATGCGCTGGCATCGCAGCCAGTTTTGTGCTGGTGACATTGTGCTTGTCCCCGCTGACGGCCTCCGTGGCCTGCAGTGCCCGTGGTCAGGGCTGAGCTCACGTTTCGGTGCGATTGGCGTCTTCGTGTTGGGGTGGAGTGACAGCCCAGCGGTGGCTGTTTGCTGCTGAGACGGCCTCGGGCCGCGTGCTGCCAGGCCCGTGCAGCCGTGGGAACCAAAGCGGACTCGGAGGAAGTTAACAGTCGGGACGGGGGAGGTGCTGGGTAGAAGCCCAGAAAGCACCCGTGCGGGGTCCGGACCTCGGAGAAGGTGCACGGGCCCGTGGGAGCTCGTGCGTGGTGCCGCCCGGCGAGGTGTGAGCTCAGACGAGCTGGGCTGGTGGGTCTGGAAGGGCGAGTAGGCGTTCACTAGGGGACAGGAGTCAGGGGCAGTGGATGGTCAGCAGCAGCCCTGGGCTCAGGAGGGACGTGCCTGCCTCCCCCCAGAAGGCGGAGCAGGTGCCATGCTGGGCGGCGTCCTGGGGACTGGGTGTGGCCTCAGGCACGTCCCTGCAGGGACCCCACCTGCCCAGAGGACAGGCCAGCCCCAAGGCGGCCATGCCTGCGGACAAGCCGGGCGCTGTGAGGGTGGGCCGGCCGGTCAGTGGCCAAGGAGCAGCATCCAGGACACAGGCCTTGCTGCCCGGGGAACGGATGGTCAGGGCGGAGGGCACCAAGCCCTCTGGCTGCCCGGCGCCCTCGCTCACCCCCCTCCCCCGCCTGCCCAGGAGGCCGCGGAGGAGGTGACCCGGCACGTCCACTCCCTGTCGGGGAAGAAGGACGGGCTGGTGCCCATGTTCATCAACACGCACAGCGGCCTCTTCACCCACGGAGGCGTGTTCACCCTGGGCGCCAGGGCCGACAGCTACTACGAGTACCTGCTGAAGCAGTGGATCCAGGGCCAGCGGCAGGACACGCGGTGAGGCCGCTCTGCGCCCGTGGGACGCAGTTCCTCTCAGCACAGCACGTGCCAGGGAAGGGCCTGGCCGCCTGAGCCGGTGCTGAGCTGGGGTCTGGGTCTGGCTGCGGGCCCAGCTCCCTCCCCGAGGAGGGGCGGATGCAGCCCCGCGAGTCCCCTCTGGAGAGAGGGCGCCAGGGCACCTGGGCTCCCTCCGCGGGTTCCTTGGAGCTCAGCCCTCAGGGTGCGGGGAGGGGGGGAGGGGGCTGGCGTGGCTGCCCCTCTCGCCAGGGCTTCCCCATCAGGGAGCCGCCCTCCAGGGCTCGGGCAGGTGGGAAGGGACCACCCTGTTTGGGAAGCAGAAGGCACTGCCCTGCCCCTCAGCTGACCCACCCCAGGCCCCACCCTCAGGCCGGCCTCAGCCCTTAGGGGTGAGCACCCCTGGGGTCTGCCCCTGGACGGGCCGTGCGCCCGCCGGACTGAGGCCGGGCCTGCTCTCAGGCTGCGGGACGACTACCTGGAGGCCGTGGAGGGGATCAGGAGGCACCTGCTGCGCAGATCGGAGCCCAGCAAGCTCACCTTCGTGGGGGAGCTCGCCCACGGCCGCTTCAGCGCCAAGATGGTGCGTGCGCTGCCGGCGGCTCCACGGTGGGGGGAGGGGTGACCGGAGAGGGCCACAGGCACCTGCCCCCCTGCAGTCGGGATCACTGTGGCTGGGGGCCAGGGAGAGGCCAGGTCAGGCTGCTGGGCCGCGGGGGTCCTGCTCCTGGCGTGGAGGCCGAGGGCTCCTGGGACGGGGAGGCCGAGGGCTCCTGGGACGGGGAGGCCCGAGGGCTCCTGGGACGGGGAGGCCCGAGGGCTCCTGGGACGGGGAGGCCCGAGGGCTCCTGGGACGGGGAGGCCCGAGGGCTCCTGGGACGGGGAGGCCCGAGGGCTCCTGGGACGGGGAGGCCGAGGGCTCCTGGGACGGGGAGGCCCGAGGGCTCCTGGGACGTGGAGGTGGGCTCTGTGGTGGTGAGGAGGCCCTTCACTTGCAGGACCACCTGGTGTGCTTCCTGCCAGGGACGCTGGCCCTGGGCGCCCACTTCGGGCTGCCCGCTGACCACATGGACCTGGCCCGGGCGCTCATGGAAACCTGCTACCAGATGAACAGGCAGATGGCGACGGGGCTGAGCCCCGAGATCGCGCACTTCAACCTGCACGCGCAGAAGGACCAGAAGGACGTGCAGGTCAAGGTGAGTGGGGCCGGGCAGGGCGGGGGGCCCAGGGCCCTGTGTGGGCCTCACGCCGCCTGTGCCCCCAGCCGGCCGACAGGCACAACCTGCTGCGCCCCGAGACGGTGGAGAGCCTCTTCTACCTGTACCGCCTCACGGGGGACCGCACCTACCAGGACTGGGGCTGGGAGATCCTGCAGAGCTTCAACACCTACACGCGGGTGAGCGCCGAGGGCCGGCCGCGCCTCACGCCCCTTCCCCCAGCCCCTTCCCTCCCCAGCACAGAGGTCACACCCTCCCCAGGGCCCACCCTGCTGGGCGGAGCTGGGAGTGGCCTTAGCAAGGCCTCCGCGGGTTCTGAAGGCAGCATTCCCGTCAGTCACCCGGGCAGCCAGTCCCCTGGGGCCCTCAGTGCCCCCATTCCAGGCCCTGCCGGGCCGCTACCCTGAGGAGGGAGCGGGCTGTGCCCACACAGTGACCCTGCCTCGGCTCCTCCAGGTCCCCTCGGGCGGCTACTCCTCCATCAGCAACGTCCAGGACCCGCACAACCCGCAGCCCAGGGACAAGATGGAGAGCTTTTTCCTGGGGGAGACGCTCAAGTACCTGTTCCTGCTCTTCTCCGACGACATGGACCTGCTCAGCCTGGACTCCTACGTGTTCAACACCGAGGCCCACCCACTGCCCATCTGGCCCCCCGTGTAGGGCGGGTCCATGGGGCGCTGCCCTGGGGTCTCACTTCTGGTGTTGGAGGGGCCTGGCAGCAGGGCCCTGGCCCTGGATAGGCCCACCCTCCTTTGACCTTGGCCGTGTGGTGTCGGCCCAGCTGGACAGCAGGCCAGGAGGCAGCTGGGCCGGGCCATGCCCGGGCTGTGAGGTGCTGGGTTGGCCGCGGGCAGCAGGTGTCTGCCCAGCTGTGGTTCCCTCAGGACATCATCGGGGACCAGGAGGGAGGCCAGCGCTGTGTTCAGGGGTCCCGTCCACGGGCCGCCTCCTTCCTGAGAATCTCAAACCATGGCTCACATTCCTGAAACCTGGACATCCTACCAGCCAGCGCACGGGCTTCTGGGGGCCCGGCCTCGGGGGTCCCCAGGCCCACATGTTCAGGGCAACAGCGAGGGACCAGAGTGCAGCTCGGCCTTGGGGTCTGTCTGTGGCCCTGTCCTGTCCGAGGTCTCGGGGTGTCTGTGGCCCCACTGACCGGGGCACCTGGCTGGCTGTGCTGTTTACGTGTTGGACTCAGGGATCCCACGGGGGCGGCGGGCAGGTGTGCCCTGCGCCCGGCCTCCCGATGGGACGGACCTTCACTCGGGATAAAGTGGATCTGCTCCAAGGGCTGCTGTGTGTGTGCGCGCGTGTGTGC